AATATAATTTAACCAAGTTTTACTTTTACCATTTAGACATCTGTCTAAACTCTTGATTTCGTCTAGCAACCTTAATTGCAATTCATGTTCTTCAATAGGTTCCACTATTTCATTATTATTTTTCAATTCTTTTTTCTTATTAAAATTATCTTCACCTTGATTATTAGTTTCTTCTGAATCACTTACTTTCCAATCATTATCAATTATATCAGGTTCTTCAATTTCAGTTTCATCATCTAATACAATTGGAATAGCAATATAAAATGTTTTATTTGCTGATTTATTTTGCATAGTTTATTAATTTAATGATTATACATTATATTATTACAAATTTGACTCATTACTAATACTTTTTTATGCTAAAAATAAAATAAAGTTAAATTTATAATATATTTAAAAAAAACATAAATTAATATAATAATAAAATACCTGTAATCTGTTATATTTATTAGTATGAAAGAATCTCATACTTGACCATAATCTTTTTACAGAAGCAGAGTTAACACAAATACCATATATATAAATAAAACTTGTGCTAATTCTAATCTAATTTCTATAATTGATTCCCAAAAATCTATCAAATTATTTTTAAATTGTAAAAAAGAATTATGATTGTATGGATCTTTACCTCATTTTATTTTATTAATTTTGCTAGAATTGAAATAGAACATGTATTAAACTATATTTGATAATAATATTTAAGCTATTAACCAATATGTATCCAAGTTAAATTGCTTATTATATCTCAAAATTTTGGTAATTTGTATAATTTGTATTCAGGATATAAACAAAAGCTAATATAAGTAAAGACTTCTATTCTTTCACATATTTTTATACTAAAATTAAGATTCAAATGAGTAGTAAATATTTTCATTGTATGTGCAAAACAGTATAAAACTTCATAAAGTTTAGCTGTATCTTTTTGAAGTTTATTAAGAAATCTACATAATGGATATAAAAGATTTTGTAAAGCAAAAATATTGGTCTAGAATTCTGAATCGTTAATAATATCTGCTACATTATCTAAAAGTTTTTTTCACCATTTTTATGTTTTGATCATTTATTTGCTGAAATATTTGGCTGTTCATTAGTGCAAATTATATTAGAACAATGTGAATTAAATTTAATAGATAAAACCTAATATATTCAAATGATTGGTGAATCAGAAATGCGATTAATTAATTATATTATAATTATAATAAATTATATTTAAAAATATATTTTAAATACCTTTAAAGCAGCTTGAGGCTTGCAAATAGAATAAAAACAAAAAATAATAACTATTTTATCTAGTATCTTCAGGAGATATTAAAAAAATAGTTTTTTTATAAATATTCATTTGCTTATCACGCAGTTGTTCAGTAAAATAAGTTGATTTATGAAAAAATGAGACTATTCTAATTGCTTCATTGATACATATTTGTAAAGTTCACTTTCCTTAAAAATTTCACTAAAAATCAAGTTCATTTGATATACCATACATAGTAAAAATACTTTAGATAAATATTTTTATTGTAATTGACATCTATATAAAAAATTTTAATTTTAATAAATATTAATTAACAAAATTTAACAAAATCAAATTTATATATATCTAGCAGCTGCATATTCACTAATTGAGTCTGAAACAAAAGATTTGATATATATATATTTTTTTATGCTTCAATCATTAATAATTCAATATGGCTTATAGCATCTTCTGTTTGTGATCTTTACGATGATATTTCTTGTGTTTCCAAATAAGTAATTATTCTTGTGATGTAATAAATATAATATTCTAGATATGTTCTTATTTAACATTTATTTACCCATCAAATGTAACGATTACATTATCTTTATTATTTTGTGTGATTTTTAATATATCTTCTTAGAATACTCATGATATATCAAACAAAATACTACCTCCAATTTTTTTTCTAGAAGAAATATTTAAACCAGGTGTAATAAAATTAAAAAGATTCTGAGTTTTTTATTTTCAAATAGAAGACCATTTAACACAGTTATTCTAAAAAAAAAAATTCAAACTAGGAATATCATTACTAGACATTGAATGGCAAAAATAATTTGTAAGTTGAGATTGCTGGCTATTAAAAAAGCTCAAAAAAGTGGTAGTTAAAGTGGATTCTTTCTAATATTTATTGGAAGGTAAATGTAAATATATATTATCATCATCATCAACTTCATTTTCACTTGAATCACTTGAGTCATTATCTTTATCTAAAAAAAAAAAGATAAGTTACTAATTCTATTCTAATTATTAGCTTTATTATCTATTTATTTACCATAATTAATATTTTTTTTTAAAATCTTCAGATATTGGTCAAGTTAAAATGCTAGATACTTCTTCTTTAGAGTATGCATTTTTAAAGTTATCGCAATTTGCCAAATATTTGTGACACAATTCTTATTTGTTGTATAATAAGAATGTATTAATTAAGCAATTTGCAAGCCTCTATTTTTATCGTAATAGCAAATGCAAACAGCTTTTACATTTGATATATTAGTATTATTTTATGTTAAAATAAAAAATCAAAAAGTTGAGAAGTATTTTTCTTTTTTGATTTTCGTCTTACCCTTTTCATTTATCATTTTTTCAAGATAAAAAGATAAAAAAAAAATTTCTCTAATTTAAGTTAGTCAAATCTCAATAAATCAATGTATTCTTATTGGCTAATAAATGATATGTGATCTATAACCAAGGTTATTTTACTATGACCAATGATCATAAAGGTTATGTAATACAATCATAAACCTTATGACTGAAAAATCATATAATAAGCGGTCATTTGAACAAATGACCAAGGTCATCAATATGTAAGCAAATGACCTGGTCATTGCCCATCACTAATTTTATATAATTAATAAATAAAAATAAAAAATTATAATATTAAATAGTTTTTTATAATTTAAATTTATTAATATAACAAGTAACTTTAATTAATAATCAAGCAAGTTAAATATTAAAAATATATTGATATCATAATAGTAAATTATTACAAAAAAAAAATAATATATAAATAAATAAATAAAAATTAAGGTATAGTAAAATTGATTTACAGAATTATTAATATAATTATAATAAAATTATAAAAGTAGAAATAAATCAATTATAGTAATGATAATATACTTACATTTAAGATTACTTATCATATTAACAGATAGGTCTCCTTTTTCTTGTACTAATAAAGTCTTGATAATGCTAGTTGAGACACAGAAAGCTTCTTTATTATCTAACATATAATTAGACTTATAATTATTATAATTATTTGACCCTAAATCAGATTTATTATTAGCACAACTATTTGAGTTACTTAAATATTTATCAGATTTAACGCTATCATAACGTACAAGTGTTAGGCTGAATTCATGATTTTGGTTAGAAGTAATTGAGGTATACATGGTATTAGTAGGTAAAACTTTATATATTTCAATATATTTTTAAAATGTTTAATTTTTTTTTTTTTAATGGATAGATAAAAAAATAGACATTGTAATCCAAATAATCTTCAAGAATTGAAAAATGTAATACAGAAAGTGATCTACAAATGATCAACATGTGGATTGATCTACAGAATCAATGACATAATGATTTGCATAAGCGATCTGTAAAATTAATCAGATCAGTTATAGCTAATTTCATAATTTATAAACCATTAATAATCTTTCAATCACATTCAGTTGCAATATTTTATAGTAATTTTATTATAAAATATTTTCAGTTGCATTTAGTCGCAATTTATTAGTGATTTATAAATTATGAAATTAGCTGTAATAAAGAAATAAAGTAATAGATCATTAGCCCATGATGACATACATAACCTTCTAAACTAAAAATTCTAAAAAGAAACTTCAAGGAGAAACTAGTTAAAGGCTAAGTAAGTATAAGAATGTAGTAATAATTTAAGAATAATATAATTATATTTTCTACATCTCTTCAAATATATATATATTATAGTTATAGGACTATTACATAGTAATTAGATAATTATTACTCAATCATTACAACAGAATTATATAGAGAAAGATGAGGAAATAATTATACAGTTTTTATGCAATAGATAGCAGTTTAGTATAGAAATTTTATTATAAATAAGCTGAGTTTTCATTATGTATCATTAGAAATTTAGAAAGAAATTTAAAGAGAAAAACTTAGAAAATTGAAAATTAATTTATAAGTTAATAAAAATCTTTGCTAAATTGTCTCAGCAAATCAATCACTTGTGTTAACCATATTTTGTATCAACCATACTTTGTGTCAACTGTATTTAACATCTTTAATTTATTTGTATCAATAAATTATTTAAGTGCTTTGTATCACAACCATATTTGAGTTACCAATGAATTAAAGTATTAATATTGTAAGATACTTTAAGCTACGCATCACTAACTTAGTTATAATACAACTATTATAATATCATCAAGGTAATTTTCCTATCATTAAAGGAATTTACAAGTCACATACCATAAATTAAAAGTCTCATACTTATCAATTCAGGACTTAATCGTGATAATATACTAACGTCAATTGAAGTTCAAAAATAATTAAAATCTCTTTCAAATTATCATAAAGATTGAGTTAAATCTTGCTACTATTCAATTGATTATGTATTTCAGTTCGCCTAATCAATAGTTGGGTAACAATATATAGCAAGTTGTGAAAAAGTGTCAAGGAACTAAAGGAAGATATAAAGGGGATAACTTCAGAATTATTATATAAAAAATGAAAGAAACCCTAATAATATTAGATATATAATCCAATCTGAAGGGTAACTTCAGAATTATTATATAAAAAATGGAAAAAGCTTCTATATGAACTTAATCAGCAAAATATAAAAGGAGGCTATCATGTAAAAAGAAGACATTCAAATATATATTTGAAAGTATAGGTAAGTGCATAATTATATTATATAAAAATGGAAGACGTCTACATATTTCTAGATATATACGCGGATATAGTATGAAAGCTTTTGCAGAAATATAATATATAAAATGGTAGAAGACTTCATTTTCAAATGCTATTCTTTACTTTTTTTGACTCAAATCCTATCAATAGTATAAAAAAAAGTATATGTGTATATCATTCAGAAGGAAGTAAGTATACAGTCGACTCTCCTTATATTGAACTGGTAGCTCTGACAAATTTTGTTCGCTATAGAATAAGTTCGTTATAAAATGTACTTTTTTTATAATGAATATAATTAGAAAGTTCGGTATATAAAACTGACCAATGATATTTATGCACGTGATTAAATAGACGTTATAAAAAAATGTTTTTTATTTATTTAATTGAT